TGGAAATTGATTTTTTTTTGCATCACATTCATGAGTGCAATCAAGGAGCTAGAAGATGTTCCCCTGATGGGAGAGCAGGATTGAAGTCTTGAACAAAGGTGAAGTTTATACATCTCTTTGAGTATTGAAGGGAAAAGGGTTTTGTTGTGTGCCACTAAAGAGGAAACCAGTTTTCTATGAAGCAGGATTCGAATGGAAGAAATGTAAAATTTGCCATTCAGACCACTAAATCAGTAGAGTTATAAAGAGTTGGTTAAACCAAGAGGCATGAAAATTCTTTGTTTTTTGAAAAGTTGAAAGATTGTGCATCATGCTGATTCACATGACTTTTGCTCCAAATTCAAATCTCAAAGTTGAGGTTTGATGTGGTTGGAATGACATATGGGGAATTCCCTGAAGAAAACGCAGTTTATATCATGGATATATTTTACATTGCTTATGCCTTCAAAGCTCTGTTTCACCTCAAAACCATTTTAGCTGCAATGTCCTTTAAACCAGAATGTAAAATGTATTTGCTTCAAATATTGTATTTCCAGCCCTATAAGCAAAAACAATTCATTGTGCAGTGAATCAGAGTATTATAAAAATCAGTCAAGTTTCACATGCATTTAAATTTGTGATATGCATAACTTTACATGTAACATCATCAAAATGAAGACTGTTAGGCATATGGATTTGGACGCTTGACAGTAATGAACACTATTCTGAACTGAAGAGCCTATCGACAAATACCAAGAGCTTTGGACATGTTTCATTAACAATGCTAGAACTACTGCCAATTTGTTCATTGAGTTGTTCAAAATATTTGGGAAAAAACCTTAAGATCAAAAGCACTGAAAAGAGCTGAAATAAGGGAGAATTTGTTCTCATTTGTAATTTTATTTAGTGCTTATACTATTGAAAGAGAAGTCAGCGATTCAGGCTGTGGAGCAATGTAAGGCAGAAAGCCTGGTTTATATTTCTTGATATTGTAATTGACTGATATGTTGAAGAGTTGTCTGAACAGCCAGTCCTTTAACAATATTGCAGAATAATTCCATGCAAGTTTCTGGGCCATCTCCTGGGCGACCTGAGGGTTTTAAAGGGCTCACGAGAGTCACATCACTGCAGTTATACCACAACAGGAAAAATCAGTCTGTTTCTAAAAGCACCTCCTCCAGGTGGTGTCCATAATAATAAGCATCCTTGCATTTGATATAGCGCTTTATTACTTCTTCGAGACGTCTCAAAGGGCTTCACAGAATACACTGTAAAGTGAATTGACTGTGCATTTTGTGGGCAAAACGTAGCGCTTTAGTGCAATTAATGCTGGCTCCACACTGCATATTTCATGCTAAAAATGCTGCCAAACTGCAGTGATTTGCCATGGTGGCCACAGTATAAATGCATTATTTGTAATTCCTCTCCCCTCCCCCCCAGTAAAAATTCTAAAAGCTGTTTTTAATTTACGAATTTTATTTTGTGATGTAATTCATTCATTTGACAAGTTTACGTTTAGTCTGGGTATTGAGCAAATGTGCAATAAAGTTTCCTCTCAAAAAGCGTTTAGCAGTGAGTTGTAAGCAGAGAAAATATGTCACTACTTAGCACAGAGTACAGTTTGAATTGCAGCAATGTGGTACAGCACCCTCTAGAGATGAAACAACATTGTCTGGAGGATGTGTGGAAATTGCCTCAGTATCGGACAATTGCAGTTTCCACGACGATAGTTTCCTTGCAAAGAAAAATGCATACATTATTTATCATTGAAGAAGGCAACATATTCATTTTATACTTTTTTTGGTCAGCCGTGTGTGCGATACATACAGAAACCCATCGCCATGCTTAAGAGTATCCAAACCAAACTGAGAGTTCCATGTATCCCACCTTACATTGGAAATTCCCATTTCAGGAATAGAATGAGCACTTCTCTCCCCAGAGGGGTGTATCCGTCTTACTAATCCTGGAAAGTAATAGGCATGGGTTGGCAAGAGCCAAGGCTTGAGGATCCCAGAGTACGTGTTACGGTACAGTTGGAGTTTAACCAGCTAAAACTATGAAGCTTGCCATTGAAAACACTGTCTGTATTGCTTGACTAGCTAGGACCAATCTAACCATTAAGGGTATAATTTGCTGGATTAACAGGAGTTAAATGGGAAGAATTCCTGCTCCGAGTGACTGATCTACCCCTCCAAGTCCAGCCTAGCTGGTCTGGCATCAGAGATGCCCTGGAGTACTGCGGGCCTGCCCGGATCAGGAACTGGACTATCAAGACTGCAGAGAGGATTGATTGAACTCCAGCATTCTTTGCCAAGAACACTATCTTGGAGCCAGTTCAGCTCCAAGGAGATCCTAATAATAATAATCCTTGCATTTCATTTAATGCCCTTTATGTCAAGGAGGATGTCTCAAAGCGCTTTACAGGATATATTGAAAAAGAGTAATAGTATAGTACAAATAGTATTTGTAGGTGAAAATGTGGAAGCTCGCGTGCACCAATGTTGTCCCATAAACAGCCATGAAGTGAATGAACAATTCTAATTGGGGGATTGTTGGCCACGACACCAGGAGAAACTCAGCTCTCTTCTCACCTTAGTAATTTTGCCTTGTGTTTACGTGGCATTACAATAGTATGCAGTCTGACATCAGTCTAACAAACGGAGATCTCCTGGTGATCATGCTAGTGGTTGTGAGCAGCACTGAAAAGTGATGTAGATTTTCCATACCTCATTGCATTGTCAAGCAATTGTTGAGTTAACGTAAGCTTTGTTGAATCTCCTGCATACAAGGTACAGAGTTCCAGGAAAGGTCACTGTCCAGGAAAGAGTTCTTCAGGCTTGTTGCAATGGTGTGAAACTACGCTACTAGTAACAATTGCAGATTGCTTGAGCTGGCACAGAGCATTGAGAGGCAGTTACAGAGTTCTTGTATCCTAGAGTAACCACATGTAGGCATGTCTCGAGGGACAGCAACTTTATGGTGCTACTTCAGATTCTGACAGCCCGGTTACATCTCTTCAAAGTTGAGGATGATGAACTCTGGCATGGTGTAAACCATCTTATCAAGTCGACTGGTCCGCACAGCTTGTGAATTTGTTAATCTGCAAGCGGGAGCTGGGTATTTTTTTTGACGATAATAGTTAACATCTCAACAATAGACAGATGTAGATTTTATGGAAAACTAAAGTTGTCAACAGTGACAAATAAGACTCGATTTTCTTGAAGATTTTTACTCTGCTGTTTTTAAAACAATCTCTTAAATTCATTGCTCCAGTAGATATTGAATATGATTACCAATCTGAATGTTTTTAACTGAAATTACAATCCTTATAGTGTGGGTAAATAGCATCATAGCTCATCTTCCTTGACAGACTTACTGGGTCACGAGGAGTCTGACCCTGTCTTTGTAAAGTGCTTTTATCATATGTGAAGGGTGCTAAATAAATGCAAATAAATGTGGAGTCCCGTTGCGTATTGGAGCTCTTATCTCGCAAACGAGAGGCCCTGGGTTCAATTCCCGGGCAGGGCGAAACCTTAGGCATGTTTCTTTACTCCAAAAGCCTCTGTTTACCCAGCAGTAAGTAGGAACCTAGTTGTTAGTTGATTGGTGTATTGCATTCGGTGGGATAATAATCCCTAAAAAAAAAGTCTCTCAATCTCTGACTGTTTGTGGAACACTGCTGAGCGCAATTGGCTGCTGCGTTTTGCCCACAAAATATATAGTCAATTCACTTTACCGTATATTCTGTGAAGTCCCTTGAGACATCTCAATGATGCGATAAGACACTATATTATTATCTTATTGTTAAGTGTTTATTGTGGTATTGATTTGCATGGTGGTCTGCTAAATGTCAGAGGGCATTTGTATGCCCAACGGATGTACCCATTATTGTCAGCTCCATACATTATGCTTAAATACCAATGAACTGCCTGTTAGGCTGAACAGTCACAGCAGGGAGTAAATATAAATGCAATAAACTCTTGAGTAATGTGTCAGTTTCAGGCATTAACGTTTAGCTTACAAAATGCGATTGTATGAACACCTATGTCAGTCTCACTCATTATGGCACAATTAAAAGCAGCAATGCAGAAAACAAATTTACATTTAATGTTGCATTTGCAATTATGTGGCTCCAAAAGTTAAATACAATGGTGGTATCTATTTGATGATAGTGCATTACATAAAGCATTAATGTGTTTAGCAATCTATTGATAATAGATAATGATAATCTAACAATAAATTACCAATTTACATTTACATAGTGCCTCTTACATCGGAAGGGCAAAGCACTTTACACTATTCTATGGGAGCTTGAACTGAAGGGGAAGATGAGGGGTGGGATCAAGCCCAAGAAAGTCGGGTATAATGGTTGAAAATATATCCACTGATGGTGGTACGGGCAGGTGACATGAAACTGCCAGTTATTTGTGTGGGGGGGGGTACAATAGGATCACAGGAGGTTGTAGAGATAGAGTGGGGCAAGTTCATGCGGGAATTTGAAAGCGAGCACAGGAATCTTGAATTTGATGCACTAGGAGTTGGAGAGTCAGTATAGCCGAGCATGCTTTTGGATGATAAACTCGCAGATCTGGTGTGGGAGCGGGGGCACGGAGTTCTGGATGGGCTGAGTTTGTGTAGGGAGGCGCTAGGGAGTTTAGCAAGTAGGGCATTAGTGTAGTTGAGCCTGTGGGTGATAAAGATATGAGTGTGTGTCTTCGCAGCCAGAGTGGGGAAAGATAATGATGGAGCTGGACAATGTTGCAGAAATAAGAAAGAGCTGAGCAATTGCGAGCCTGAATGTAAGGTTTGAAGAATAGTTGGGGTCAAAGAAGACCTGACGTTCAACATGTGTTTGCATAGTCAATAGTTAATATTTCTCTATGTGGAGCGTGAATAACTGAGTTGTTTCTTACATTTCCTTGTTTTGAGGTTTTTGCATTTTATAATTGTTTATGTATGATTGGGATTGACAGAAATTCTTTTGTCATTTTTCATAATAATTAGGGTTTTTTTATCCATAGGGCTGGACTCCACAAAAGATCCTTGTCTAAATGTGAAATGCAGTCGACACAAAGTGTGCATTGCTCAAGACAACCAGAGAGCTCTCTGCGTTAGTCACAGGCGGCTAACGCACAGGTAAAGGACATTTGTTTTCTCTCATTTTGTCTCAGATTCACATTTTCCATGGTTTATTTATGGTACAATGAAGTCGAAAAACCAGTTGACAAACAGATTAACTGAGAGTGACATTGAGTCACTCATGGGAATCCTGTCAGTATCCAGAGGTTTGGTACGGCCAACACGCAAGAACACCGTGGTCCACTTTCTCATGTTTCAGAGCAGAAATCTCACTTGATCTGCTCAGATATGTTAAAGATCCTATGGCATTACTCGAAAAGAGAAGGGAGTTTCTCCTTATGTCCTGGCCAATAATATATATAATTATATAATTGATTATTCATTTCATGTCTATTATGGGACATTGTTATGCACAAATTGGTTGCTGCGTTCTCGTAGAAAATACAGTCACTGGATTTTCCTGTAGCTCAGTGGTTAGAGCACTCGCTTTGCAAGTGAGAGACCTGAGTTCAATTCCAGGCAGAGGGCGAAACCTTGGGCAAGTTTCCTTACTCCACACAATGCCTAATAATAATCCCTCCAAAACCAAAAACAATAATAAATTGGTCATTTTCAATCTACGACTGTTTGTGGGACATTGCTGTGCGCAATTGGCTGCCGCGTTCGCCCACAAATATACAGTCAATTCACTTTACAGTGTGTTCTGTGAAGCACTTTGGGACGTCCTCCCGACATGAAAAGCGCTATATCAAATGCAAGGATTATTATTATAATACGAGTGAATCCCACTGCTTTTTCGAACCCACCTATTTATTCTTTTTCCAGAGAGGTTTTTCTGAACTCTAAAAGTCTATTTAAAATTTTCAAAGCTTGTAATTAAATGGTCACTTAATTTTATTGAATGAAGACAATGGTTTACATAATTCATACATTTTTAAAATGCTGACTTTCCAATCTTTTACTGAGAATATACAGTACAGAAACAGGCCATTCGGCCCAACTGGCATTTATGCTTCACATGGGCCTCCTGCCCTTTCTCAACTAAGCCTATCAGCATAACCTTCTATTTGTTTCTCCCTCATGTACTTATATAGCTTCCCCTTAAATGCATCTATGCTATTAGATCTACTCCAGTTTTGTTCAGTAGACTTTATACCGTGGATGCATATCATTATTGAACATATTATGCAGGAACTGCTCTGTTTGAACTCAGAAATTTCTAACATATATTTAGTTAAATTTGCTATACTTTAAATGTTTTTCTACAACCTTTGATAGTGGATGAAAACAATAAATGTATTGTACAACAGCAAAGTGTTTTATATTCAACAGCAATGCATTTGATATTCATAGGTTATTAAAAAGTGCTTGGAAACACTATATATGGGAGGGGAAGGAAGAAGAGTTATATAACATTTTTGTCATGAAGCTACACGCAAGAGACGTGATCAAGTGCTTCATTTCCATTGTGTCATGTGTTGAAATTGGATCCCTTTAATATGTACTGAATAACAAACAAGGTAGATCTACAGTCCAACTCCATGTTCAAATGGGATACATGACTCACCTTTTCAATTCAATCAGAAAAACAAGGTTCCACAGGGTTTCATTCTTTCTTTCTCAGACTGACAAATTTTATTCTCACTGGGATTCTTATTGTGTTTTCTAGGAGAGGTAATTTACTTGTAATACCACCTAAGAACTGTCATGAACACTGGCACATTACAAGTTCCATTATGTAATGGTTCTCTGCACTCAAGGACTTTGTTTAATAAAGTTTTCAACGCCTTGAATGCTGAACCATGTTATATATTTGAGCTGGAAACAAACACGCACTTTTCTGACACCTTGCTTCACCTGCTCAATGTTTGCAATAATCATTTCAGAACCTTATTTTTGCATTATAACTTTTTTAATCTGTGTTTAGATGGCAGTTGTTCATAGTGACTTGCTGTGAAGAGAGTGGGTCATTTATAGTTGAGCACTAGGATCCTTCAATTGAGGCATTAAATTGTGGGGCAAACTGTGCGCCACACTTTTAGAGAAATGAATAAACCTGCTTGGGCTCTGGAAGAATGCATCTGTCACTGTGAAAAGTTCCTGCAGCATCATCATAATAACACTTAATGTCTGCAATGCCTTTGATAGCCACGAGCAAAGTGGTTTGAATCACCCACATGACCTCCGAAATAGTTGTAGGATTTTGATCTGCATCTGAGATTCAGTAGTATCCTGGTTGCTTGCACCTCGATGGACACTGGTCAGTAAATGCAAAATAGTTTGTCTTTGTTTTTTAAAAAACTTTCACAAGGACATGCATGCCTTCTTCAAAATACCTCTGGAGATGCATTCCTCTCCATCTCCCCAACTCGTATATTGTCTACTGCTACAGCAAAAGAAAAGACATCTTGCAAATGGCTCTAAATGTTATTGAATGGTAATAAAACCCAGCTGGAGAGTGATTTTCGGAACCGATGGCATAATGGGTTTAAAATAACAGAAAATTGCAGCCTGGCTAAGGTTAATTGCCGTTGTTTTATTCCTGCCAGTTGTTAAGGCTTTTTGATCCACAATTGGGTAATAAATTGGCTCAGTTAGGGACATGGGGGCCGTTACATGTTTCCTCTCAGGAACGTCGTGCTGCTTGAGGTTCATAAAATGTACGTAACCAATTCGAAGAAGCAATGAGACATACTTTAATGAGTTTCAAGCAAGGCTAGTAATGCTTTTCAAGAAACATGCAGCGTCTGTAATACAAGAAGAAAATAGGCAATTATGCCTGTTTGTCAGCTTATGGTTTCATCCTGGCTCGGTTGGTGTTCAAGCCCTACTTCAGGAATTGAGCTCATAGTCTAAGATGACACTCCAATACAAAGCTGGAGGCACTGTCAGAGGTGCCGTCCATCAGATGAGACAGATGAAACTGGCCATGTGTCTGTTCCGCTGGCAATATTTCAAAAGAGAACAAGGTTTCTTCCAGTGTCCTGGCCAACAATTTCTTCATGTAAATTTGACCATTTACTTTTTCACTGTTGGTTATTACTGTATACAAATTGGCTGCTAGTTTCTGCACTTTACTATAAGATCTTGTGAAATGTTTTGACAGTGTGATAAGGCACTGCAGCAAATGCAAGGATTATTTTTATTATTTCAGATACTGAAGTGTTGGCAAAGCCTGATCAAGTTTATATTCTGCTCATTACTTTATTTACATGTGTTCAGATTCTGTAGTATTTCAGAGAATAGTTTTACAAAATACAGTCATTACACCTTATAGTAAATCTATTAAAGCACCGTGAGACATCCTTCTGAAATGAAAGATGCTATATAAAATGCAAGAATTATGATATATATTATATATTAGTAGTAATAAATTGATTAAGTAGCAAACTAAAGATGCTGGGAGACTGGCTCACCAATCTGTGCTTGGTTTGGAATTCTGTCTAAGGCGATTACTACATTCACCTACAAAATACAGTGATTAAACTTTACAGTAATTGCTGTGAAGCACTTTGAGATGTTTCCATGACGTGATAAGGGGCTATGGCAAATGCAGGGATAACTATTATTTTACACTTAGTCTTAGCACTCTGCATTTAAGAAGAGTAAAGAATGCAATGGATTCCTTTTCCTGATCACTATCCAACGAGTCCCATTTAAAGTCAATGCGGTTGGACAATGGGATGAAGTCAGGATCAGAATAGACTATATTGGCTCTATTACACAGAACACAAACATGGAAATATGCTATTCAGCCCAACAAGTCCATGCCGGTGTTTACATTTCACAGGAGCTTCGCCACCATACCTCCCCTTCCCTTTATTCCATTTGAGCCTTATCAATACTAAAACAGGTTCAATTATTCTGAAACAATGTAGAGATTTGGCATTGACATGTCAGGTCTTTCGCAAATCCACGATATAGACATGCCTAGAATGTGAACTACAGCATTACATTGTGCATGGATGGGGTTTGATCAACATTTTCAATTGCTTCTTGTATTTGCTTCTGAATTGCACTCCGTGCACAAAACATTCATATTATGAACCATCACAACATACTGGCCTCAAGCGCAATATTAACCTTAAAACCTCTATACTTCAAATTCTGTTTGCCTTGAGAATTGTTACAGGACAAGAGGAATACAGTAGTTTAAATAAATGCGCAAGTACCCTTGCCGAAAATCACTGTCATGACTCACACATGAATAATGGACCAGTCGAAAGAAAGAAAAGAAATTCTCATAGAAGTCTCTTTGGCTTCATTATCTCAATCAAATTATCTTGTCTTGCACAGAATGAAAATGAAGGTCATCAGATGACTTTTATGAATTTTTTTATCAGCTTAATTTTGCACTTTTGAAATGATTGCTGCCGCACTGAAAATAGTTGGCGTCCCTTGTTTCTCAAAGGAACTCAACTCCTGTGTTCATTGGAAATGCCCGATTGACATTTCTGTGGCATCAGATTAAAACCAAAAGAAGAAACTCACATGGCAACCATATCCTGATGCTGCAGGCCATAGTTTTAGCTGTTGTGATGTGGTCAAATCCATCTACTCACCCACCCACCCACCCACCCATCCATCCATCCATCCATCCATCCATCAATCAGCCAGTGTATGTCAATGAAACCTGGAATTGTCATTTGGAAAGATGGAGAGTGAACCAGTAGAAAGCTACATCAGTATACTGCCTGAGAAAAGTAAAGATTAATAACCATCCCAAAAGTCTGCTTTATTTTTTCTTACACATGTAATCTCTGCGATCTCCTTCAATCCAACTGACCAGGCAGCTATCTTCGCTCAGTGAGAACCAGCTTGCTTCATGTCTCCTACTTTGTCCACCCCACCACCAGTGGGTGAGCTTTCAGTCATTATGCCCCTACTCTCTGGAACTTCATCGGAGTCCCCCGTCTCACTCACTCCCTTCACTCTTTCAAAACATGTCTCAAAAATTCTTGTAGTATTGATGATTGAAAACATTAGGTTTGTAACACTCTCATAATTTGTAGGAAATAAATGCTGTATGTATTCAGACAGATAAACGAATTGCAGAA